TTTTTTTTTAATACATCTTTAGGCCTTGGCATCTAGTAGATACTGATTAACAGATGTTTGCTCAGCAACTTGGTAAATAAACAAAGTCTCATCAATTATTTGACTATTCAACAACTGGTTAGTATATCAATGATCAATATGACATATTTCTCTTCTTTAGTTTACTTTTGCTTATGTACAAATATCTGTAATTTGCTAATTCTCTTACAACTTCTGAATTTTGTTCTCTCTTACTAGATTTTATGCTATTTGAAATTATTGATTACCTTGGAAGTATAGAATCATGAAAAGAGGAGGAGCACCACGTAGCTCATTGGTCATTGAAGAAGTCAGTGTGGATGGAGAAGGGTAATGAGGATGGAGAATGGTAGGACATGACTTCAGAGAGAAGCAGCCTCAGATCCTGTGGGCTTAAAGACAAGATGAGAACTGGGTCTTTGATTCTGCCATAGAAATGAATAAGCACCGCCAATCCTCTGTCCTTGAGATCCTCTGATGGACAGGTATGACAGCAAGAGAAGCCAATAGCCAAGCCTGGGCTTCTTGATTTGACACTGCCTCTCTCCACTGGACCTACCCACCCAGACAACACACAGCGGGGAGAAACCATTCTCCAAGGGAAACCAGTGCATAGAGAATAAGAACAAATGCATGTGAAGCAGTAACAGCAAATGCCCACTCAACCCAACCTGGCCCCTTCCTCTGCTTTCAAGCTAACCGACAATGCAGCCATCTCAGAGGCTCAGCATGGAAAGCAGAGGACAAGGGGTGGAGACCCAAGCTTGCTGCCATTTTTCTTTGCCAAGGTGTCTACACTGTGTGTCAGTGTTTCATAACCCAATAAGCCCTCTCTCCCGCAGTGGTGACTTATCCTTTCCATTTGTTTTAAGAGCTGTACTTTCCTGAGCTGCTGGCTCTGGCCAACCTCTGCTTCCACGCCAAAGCCATTGCCTAATGAAGTCTCACTCTCCCCAGCAGTCTCAGCCACTGCCACAGTCAACATATCATGGCAACTGTCACCTTTTCATCAAAAACAGTTTTGTTACTTAGTGGTGTTAATAGTGCCACCCCCACGGAACCTGGAAACCAGGATTCACCCTGGGCTTGGACCTTGAACCCTGAATTTTGTGTCCTGTGGTCTTTAACCTTGACTTGGGTTTTAATTTCTGCCTGTCTATTGAACCAAGCCACTGATTAGTGTCAGTGACTTCCAGTTTTAAGTTAGCCCAAAGTAATTATTGGCCAAGACAATATTTTACCTCCTGGATTCAGGATCTTCCTTTCTATCCTTGGCCCTAATCCAAGGATAGATTTCTTGGGTTGTGCCTTATTCCATGACAAAAATAATATAAAATTATTATTATTGAAACTATCATTTAAAAAACTAACCTGATTGCTCTCAACTCATGGTAATATAGTCATCCCTCTGATTTCTGCGTGGGGGAAGGGGTTCCAGGACCTTTCCCAACTACCAAAATCCATGCTCAGATCTTTTATATAAAATGGAGTAATATTTGCATAGAACCTGGGCACACCATTCTGTATGTGTTCAACTGTCTTAGTTTACTTATGACACCTAATATCTAAAACCATACTCCATATGACTTCTGTTTGCAGCAGAGAGGAAGAAAAGGATCCATTCACTAAATAAAAGCAGAATGATTTGGTGAATAAATCTGTTCTCAAGGTTTTACTTGATAATCAAAGGCTTATTTAAATAACCCCCAGGGAGCCCGTAGCCAGGAGTCCACATTAAAACAAGTTGCAGTCCTTCAGGTAGAAGGAAGCCCTCCTGACCCAAGCTCGACAGGGAAGGCAGGAGGGAGGAGGCCAGAGTTCATATGTGTTTAAACCTATGGCAGCGGTGATGGCCCAGCAAAGCTGAGAGACACCCTGTTCAATAGGAGGTTCTTTGTTAGCCACGGAGCTATTTAGTTATCGCCTTGAGGTTCAGACACCACTTCCATGCTTATTGCAAATGCCATATAAACAGATGCAAATGCCATATAAATAGCTGATATACTACATTATTGTTTTTATGGATAATGACAAGGAGTTTGTTCATGTTTGTACAGAGAAATTATGTGTGTGTGTATATATATATATATATATATATATATATATTTGTGTGAGTATGTGTATTTAATCCACATCCATAGATGTGGAATGCACAGGTACATTGATAAGCGGTAACATGGTGAAAAAGAAAAAGAAGAAAAATGGGACAATAAACAAGTCCATCGTTGCTTGTGAAGTCAGGATCTCTCAAGGAATCGTGCTCTGGGGATGTGACTTGCTTCTCTCTCTCTCTCTCTCTCTCTCTCTCTC